AGAGTTTGGTACCATAAGGTGTAGTAATAAACTTCTTCAGCCAATAATGTTAAAACAGTGTTATGAGCGTATCAAAGTATTGTATAATCTTAATCCATAGTTTTTCATCACCAGAAATTAAGAGACTCATGCAACAATATTGTGCACTCTCTAACTTGGTCACAAATACATAACTGCTTTTGTTAGTCTTTATCAGTGTGTACTTGAAATTCAATTGAAACAAGTCTTAAATAATGGTCCTGAATGCAAAACTGATAATTGATTGATTACAGAATTGTTACATTCCCCATTCATATGTAGTACTGGTATAATATCCATGAATAACACAGAACAATATGTTGCTCCTTCTGCTGAACTGAATTAATAGCTAGGTGCCAATAGAGAGTTGATTTTTTTTAATTTTTTTTGAGTGCCCATTCTGTTGTTCTCTACTTCAATGCATAATGTTAATGTATATACCTATGTGAAGTTAAAAACAGCAAATACACAATGTAGATAGAAAATGTGTGCTGATAACTAATATAAAACTGGCACTGTTGCTTTTTCCCCCCCAAGGTTTAATGCATGTTCACAATAAACTTGTGGACCCGCTGTACAGTATGAAAGAAGAAAACTGAAGGAGGAATTGAGGAACTCCATGTGGGTAAACAGCAACATTTTTAGGTAGCAGACAAAGTTACTGCTATGCAATATGCTGAAACTGGTTAAAATGGGAAATCTTAAGTACTGTATTTTTTAAAAAATCCAGTATCTATACATTTACATTCCATCTCTATATATTGTTGTATTGTGCATTTTGTTTTAATATTTTGTAGATGTGACTCATTGGCTGCCACAGTAAGTAAACAAGAACAGAGCAAATGTAAATGGCAGTTACATACTATGAGAAATAACAGAAGTGTATTCTTAGCACAGCAATGTACTGTTTGACTGTGTCTGAGAAAATTATACTTTAGCTTAAGCAAAATTCTGTGGCTCCACCAGTGCAAAATACACTTCTCATTTTTTTGTCTCCATATAGGCAAAATGCTTTGGGGCTTTCACATGTCAAACATCACGGACTTGAACAGATGCACAACTTTGGTTATGAAATGCTCTGTTTATATCTAATACACATTGCACTTTGGCTGCCTTAAATTAATCTTATGCCAATAGCTTCTGGGCGTTTAAGTCCTACTGTACAATACTCAGGCAAATAAAAGTATGAAAACTGCCTAAAAATGTAGAGGACCCTTTCAAACAGTAACAATAACTTATTCTTCAATTATGTGCACATTATACTTCCACCATAGCACTTTTGTTACATTTCAAGTTTATTTAGGAATTTTATATTTTGGTAATTATGAACTCTATAGAGAATGAATACATTCAATGTGTTCCTTTTTGGAGATGAATAGCCTAGTTACATTAATGACTGTGAGCCAATAATTGTAAAGGCAGGTTAACTGCAGTAAGAATGGCTAAAAATCCAAATGGCTAGTATTGAAACAAGTCTGACTGTAAACAGAACTACTTTACAGTACAAGAATTACTTTGCATCGGAGATTGCTATAAACCAACTGTTACTAAGAATGCCACTCTTTTCTACTGTTACTCCAAGTAAAGCTTAAATTCACAAAAACCTTACCATGTTTGTTTTGTTTTTGATGTGAACTGTGGTTTGAGAATAAACATTTCAGGTTTCAAAAACAGGTTTAGTGACAGGGTAGTAGTGTGCCTTTCTCTAGGTATGGACAAAGCTAACTTATTGTGCCAGACCAGCTCCTTTATACCAGCAGTAAATTCCCTTTTTAAAATATCCACTGAAAGAGATGGGCTGGATCTGATGGTATGTTCCTCTTCATCTATTGTAATATTTAAATAGAAGTCTTGGCTTTCAAACTAGTAATTTTCTACAGTGGAAAAACTGAAATCCATTCCTTAGCCATAAATGTGGATTTATAGGTGAATAGGCTCTGAGCAGTAAGCTGCTTTTTTCTGCCTTTCTCCTTTAAAACACATACTTTAATAGCAAAATTTTACTCAAGTATCAAAAACACAAATCAAGTCTACTAGCCTCTTGTTAACTATAGTTATATAGAAAATAAATGCAAAAATAACCTCTCTTTTTTGTTGGACTGGCTGAAGAATCCTACTTCAACACTTCCAGAAAGATTTAAGTGTGATCCACCCTACTACACTGACCTGTGTGTGAGAGCTGAGGATTTTACATGCTTCAGATTTGTTTTTTTGCTATTCATCTACTACAAGGGTTCTCAAATGTGGGGGTCATGACTCCTTAAGGGGCTCACCAAGTTATTACATGGTGGGAGGGGGGTGGCAAGAGCTGTCAGTCTCCATCCTGAAACTGCTTTATCTCCATTTATAATAGTGTTAAATATAAAGTGTCTTTAATTTATTGGGGGGTGGAAGAATCACCAATACAAATGTTTGAGAACCACTGATCTACTAAAACTGGCCAAACAGCTGCTCGTTTAAGCATACAGTTTTTCTAAAATAGCAGCCAGTGAAGACAAGTTGTATAAGGTTGTGAAAAGGATTAATTTCAATCCTCCAGCTGAGAATACTTTCTCACAGTAATAGTAACATGATTGTTTTATAGCTATAATTAAACATTGACACTATATCTCCTTTGGTATTGTTTGGATTAAAGCAGGTGGTCATGTGGAACCTCCTAATCTGTTCACTTTAAAACACTGCATGAAGCAAGTTTTCTAATTGAATGAATTTGCTTAGAATCTTTTCAAAGGACACTTGTCCTTCAATTTGTCTGGACTGCATCAAGTTTAGCTGGAGCCTAGTACATCTGACAAAGTGGGTATTCACCTACAGAAGCTTATGCTCCAATACATCTGTTAGTCTTTAAGGAGCCACAGGACTCTTTGTTGCTTTTTACAGATCCAGACTAACAAGACTACCCCTCTGGTACTAGTACAGAGTACTTAGCTTCTCACCTGTAAACCAAAAAACCCTCTTTGCTCGAGTGATGTGCTATAACACATCTACAAAGCAAGTCTGTCCCCTTCAACAAGCTGGAATTAAGGAATTCATTCCTATAAGCCTGACAGTTTTCTAAACTCTGTTTTAGAAGTTGTTCCTAACCTTATGTTACAAAGATGAGGCATGTCATACCATTTGCTGAATGTGAGTTTCCTCTACAGACTGGACTAGAAACAAACTAAAGACTAATTATGCAACAACTCCCTGCCCTACATACTTTTTTTTTTTTGAAACAGACATCAGATACTTCAGAAGCATCTCATAATTTATGGTAAGAATGTGAAAGACAACTAAGTGTATGTCTTCACTCTGACCTAGACAAGGGGTATGCCCTGGGAGCTACCACTTACTTGTATCCATGAAGTAGGTGATAGGAAAGAGTTAAATGGGATCAGTAATGCCCAGTATCTAGTCTTCTGTGGTGCTGTTTTCAGAAGCCTTGAGGTCTCCTAATATTGGGCTACCTATCTGTTTCAGAGAAAGGAGCTGTGTTGGGGTATATGATTTGTCTCCTAATTGTCAGTTCCTAAATAACTGTATTTTACACTTGCTGATGGAGTAACAGTCTAGCTTCTGTTTCACTAATATGGAGCTGGTTTGTCCTTTTCCTTGTACTTACATAATCAATTATATTGCCCTGAACTTCAAAGAATGTACTTCCAGAAATTTGAGATCCAACATGCACTATTATTTCTTGTGTTGAGAGTTAGAAAAGTAAGTTGGGGGTTGGCCACGCCTGCAGTGCCTTGAAGCACGCTCCTCCTGGGATTGGATTTTATGACACCCACAATCATTCTAGTTGAATTTAATTGTACACATTACAAAATAGAGTATGGTAATAAAATCTGAAATGTAGAATTCAAGTACATTCTTCCAATTAAAATTCATTCCTCATACCTGTAACCAGCTGTACAAAATTAAATATGACAAGTCACACAAACATACCCCCAGCAAGAAGTTATACATTAACCTCATGCAGCCATTTGCCCAGCAAAAGTTAGATAGAAGCATCACAGTTGCAGAGTTTTGATCTCCAACTATTTTTCAGATTGTCTCTTTAGAACACTTATAAAGGCATCTTTGGGCACTTCCACGTTGCCAATTTTCCTCATCTTTTTCTTTCCTTCTGCTTGCCTCTTCAAAAGCTTCATTTTCCGTGTAATATCTCCACCATACTATTAAAAAGGAAAGATGTGTTAACTTGGGATATTGTATAGATGGTACAGTGTAAAAACATTAAGAGCTATGCTATACAGTACAGTAACTCCTCACTTAAAATCATCCCAGTTAACGTTGTTTCCATGTTAAATTGCTGATCAATTAAGGAACATGCTTGTTTAAAGTTGTGAAATGCTCCCTTCTAAGTCCTTTGGCAGACACCTATTTTGTCTACTGCTTGCAGAAAGAGCAGTCTTTTGCAGCTAGCTGGTGGGTGGTTGGAACCAGGGTGGACCAGCAGCCCTCCCTATCAGCTCCCCACTCCCTTAAGTTCCCTGTGCAGCAGCTGCCTGGAGTTCAGCTGTGTCCCTCCCCACACTGCCATGTGCTGCTCCTGCCCCCTGCCTTGGAGCTGCTCCCAGAGACTCCTGCTTGCTGCACGTGGGGAGGGAGGAAGTGGAGGGCTAGTGTCAGGGTATCCCTCCCTCCCCACTGCTCCTGCACCCCGCTTACCCAATCTTCCATAGAGTGGGGTGGGGGGAACACACTACCACACTACAGAGGGAGCTTCGAGGCAGTAGCTGAGGTGTCAGGAGGTCTCAGCAAGCTGATTTAATTAACAGGGCAGTGTACCTAAGCCTGGGGTCAGCTACTTAAAGGGGAAATGCACATTTTTTTTTCACACACACACACACACAGGGTGTCTCTCTGTCTGCCCTCCCTCCTTTCCTGCTGCCTCCTAGAGTGTGAGAGTTAACCCTTAAGGGCTCAGTCAATTACTAGTTCATTTAGCAGTGAGGTATTCCCTGGAAAATATCCCACCCTCTATCTCCTCCACCTCAACCAAGCTTCACAATCATCATGACTGTGTACCAGTATTAAATTGTTTAAAACAGAGAGAGAGAGTGTGTGTATGTATATATATATATATATATATATATATATATATATATATAT